GGAATTTTCTCCTGGAAAAAAATGAACCTCTTTCTCCCACCTTTGTAGGGGCTTCCCCACAAAATCCAGCCCTAGTTTCAAGATGCATCCGTATGGGAACTCTTGTTAATGCATTAGGAGGCTCTGCGCTCTCTTCTCATAATAGCACCACCACCACCCGAGGCTAGCACCTTCCTTTTATTGCCAAGTATGGAAGTTGTGGAGGGGTGGGGGGTGTCTCTCTGCCAAACAGTGAAATTAATGCTTTCCTGGGGCAGAGCAGCTAAATGCCTCCTAAAAGAACTGTAAACAGAAAGTGTTGCATGCTGCTTCTTGGTCATGTTGGTTTTGGTTTTAAGGAAAGCCAGTAATCACGTCTTCTTAGACAGTGGGCACGCTTTTTAACTTCATAATGGATGAGTTGAATATTGTATGTAGCTCTGTAGTCCGTGAAGGATATTGAGACAGTGGTATTTACATAGACTGTATGATAAAACTTATGCATTCAAAAATGTAGTGAGCTATTATACAGCTGTTTGAGATTAATCATGGAAATGGCAATGAAAGCTTTTCAAGTAGTTTATGGAAGACTTCCTTTTCCAATGTCACCTTGCCACTTTTACTGTAATGAAGTGCAGTAGTTTGAGATATTGCTGCTGTGAAATGCATGCTGTTTTGGAAAGTAAATTGAGTTGCTTGTCATTCACCTGTTAGAGGGGTTAGGGAGACACAGACTGATGGGATGGTAAACAAGTATTAAAATTAGGATATGCTAACTGTAACTTAAATTGACAGAAGCTGTGAAATTTAAACATATTTGCTTTTGTGTGCTATATCATTTAGATGATACAGCTTATATATATGGCTTATCTTTTGTTCTTGTTAGCAAATTTTTTTGCTTGTTACTTATGATATTGATGTAAAGAGCATGACCATTTTTATTAAAAAATAAAAGCAGTGTCACACAAAATTGAGCTTATTTGTGTAATAAACTTGTAATTTAACATTAGACTAATATGATTGGTATACTTATTCTTCAGACAGCATCATGAATCAAGAAAAATTAGCTAAGCTTCAAGCTCAGGTCCGAATAGGAGGAAAGGTAAGAGGAAAACAACATCAAATTCATAGAGGCACCTACTATGTCTTGTTTTCATTGTATATTTTAGAGGTCTGAAATAATATGTTATGATCAGGATCATAGCACTTTTTTTTTTTAATCCAAAACAGTTGGTTGCCAATATATGGAAAATTTATATGTTGATTTAACCATTTACATGCACAAGTTTAGTTCTTAAGTGTGGAAGGGTGTTTGTAGAAGCTTGTAGCGTGAAATATGAATAATACATTTTTCCATATTTGTAAGATTTGCTTAAATTTAAATTACTTGATTGTCTTTTTGGCAGAATGTATTTTGTGCCTTTCTTAAAATAACTTTTGGAAAATAAGGAAGAAAAAGAAGGAAAGTGTACCTATTTCCTCTTATTGAGAACTTGTGGTAAAATACGTTTGTGTTTTAAATAAGCCAGTGTAACTTTTAAATTCATATCAAGATGTTCAATATAATACCCATTGACTTTGTTTTTTAAAAAAAACTTCCTGAAACCAACATTTCCGGGTAAAGACTACTAAACAAAATTTTAAAAAATCATAACCTGAAAAGAACTTTGGGCCATAAAACTTTTGTGTACTGTAGAGAGGATAAGAGATGGAGGAGCATCATGTGATTTAAAATTTGTGGAATAGTGTATCTTTTGGGAGAGAATTGTTCATCTCTGTTTTGTTTGCTTTTGAACCTTAAAAAAGTGAGCCTGGTTGTCAGCCCAGGCCTGATAATTATCAGAGTGGCTTTGACAATAAAAGTGCAGCACTCAGCAACTCCCTTTTGTTGAAACTAGTTGATATTAGTACGTGACTGCAGTGTCAGATCTTCAGAGTTGCTGACTAATGTTTCTTTCATTGTCTGATTTTCAGGGTACTGCTCGCAGAAAGAAGAAGGTAGTGCACAGGACAGCAACAGCTGATGATAAAAAACTTCAGAGTTCACTCAAAAAGTTAGCAGTAAACAATATTGCTGGCATTGAAGAGGTATAGTGGTATAATTATTTGCCCTGTCTATATTGTTCATTTTAAAAATAAATTGACATCTGGCTAGATGCTGAAGTGCTAAGAAAAGTTGGGTCTGATCTCCCGGACTTCAGTGAAACTAGTCTTGATTTACATAATTAGTGTAAAGGATAGCAGAATATACACTAGAAATGTTAAATGCATGTTTATGCTTATTGGATAGTTGACTGGTGGCTTACATCCCTACTTAAAAGCTAGCTTCCCATGTGCACTGGTTCCCAAATGCCTAATACAGAGGCAGCAGCACGGGGGGAAGAGCCTGCATGTAACCGTATACATGTGTACACTAATATCCCTAATTTACATCTTAATTACTTTAAGATGTTTGTTTGGAAATTGGCTGGTTGCTTGTGTTGCATATACCTTTCAATGGCTGAAAAACTCATATGATTTTTGTCTTAGTAAAATTTGTTTGTTTAAAATTGATTATAGTTAAACATTTGTGACTCAAATTAAAGTTACTTGTTGAGCAAAAACAGAGCACCTGATACTGTACAAAACATAAAGGGGAAACATAATGTGGATCTCGTTCTATATTGCAAAACTTTGCTACTCTTATGTTACATGGAAACTGAAATAATTAACATGGTGCTGATTTTTTTTAAACATTTGCAGAAACACTGAACATTTGAGTAGTATATAAGTTATGTGGTATCTTGCCCAGTTAGTAATAAAGGTTGAACCTCTGTGGTCCAGCAACATCTGTGGTCCGGCACAATTTTAGTTAGTTAGATGTCCAGTTATCGTCAGCATGGCCAAGTTTCCCACAGCCCTATAAAGTTTCTTTACAGCCACCAGTCTTGGCTCTTGGTGTTCTGTGCTGTTATCTAGCCCTGTTTTATCCCTAAATGTCTTCTGAGAGCCCAGTAAGCAGTGGAAGAGTTGATAAGGCTGCTAGACAATATTCACCTTCTGTGGTTTTGCAAATTCTCTGGTTTGGCACTGGTCAGGTGCCAGACTAGAGAGGTTCAACCTCTTGAATATTTTTAGAATATCTTTTTTTTTATATACCAATTTTTGAAGGAATGTCTGAATTATTTTAATATTGACCTTCCTGGGAAAGTGGACCTTTCCATGTGGTGGTGTATACAAACCAAGAGACTGCTGAGATAATATGTAGAGGACAGTGATCTTCAGTTAAATGTTGTTGCAAGATTTGTCTGAAGAAACATAACGCATTTGATTAATTTTAAATTATGTATGGTGTACGTGGAGGCTCGCTTCTTCAATAAGCACTTATGTCTTCCATAGAGGGACTATGAATTATCCTAATTTTCTTTGGCTATTAATTTCAGCACTGTTAGTGTGCTCAGTGATATACAAAATACTAAGGTAAACAGTGCTTGCTTCTCTTTACCCAGAGCCCAAAATCTTAATATACAGACAAAACTCTTCAGATACAAACTGCTCTAGGTAAAAAAAGGATGTTATCTGGACAATACTAGCTTCCAGTTTAATGAATAGGCACTCACTCCTGAAAGTTGGCCAGAACCACTTGTCTAGAACCAAATTTACATTAGAGGGCTCTATCTCTGCAGGACAGCTTGCAAGATTGAGGCCTCAGTGTGTAAGAACGCTTATCAGTGAAGTGGATAAAGAATGGTAAACTTCACAGAAGTGGTGTGTTCTTTAAGTGGACTTCCAAGTAAGAGAATGATCACCATGCACTCTTGAGAACTGCAAAAAGTTCCAGGCATAAAGAACATCATGTAGCTTTTTTTATAAGACTGTTGACTTAAAAACAGGTTGAGTCTAATTCTAAATTATTTTAAATTAATCTGTATTGTGTAGGAACTTTCACTAGACACTGAAATCTTCAGTATTTGTTTTTAATTTAGTCTGTGCCTTTTTCCCCATAACTTTTCAATTAAAAACAAATTGAATAGCTATAACATTGTTATAAATATGCTGTTATTGTTTGTTTATCAGGACTTTTCCTTTCCGTAATTAAAATAAAGACATTTCCAAAACATTCTCATTTTACACTTATTTTCTTGTCTGCTTAAGAAAAAGACCTACATTTTCTTTATTTCTCCCTTCATCTAGCTTAAAGCAAAACTCAGGTATTTTCCTGTTTAGAGGCAGAAATGAATTAATGGTCCATCAAGTCTGGCATCCTGCCTCTGGCAGAATGTAAATCCAAATTCATAAGAAAAAAAGTGAACAATTGTCATACCTATGGTTAAGAAAGGAAGGTCCCAACGTGCAAAGGGACATCAGTATGATGGTGTGAGCACAGAAGTCTATGCTAGCAAAATTGGGGCCTAAGTATCCGCATAGGCGGATCCCTGAACTCTAATGGATTCCCTTTGACTACAGAAGGATTCTGTGCATGTAAAGGGGCCCATATGCATCATATTTCAGTATTTGGGCCTAAGTTTTCAAGTGTTTAGCTTGGGAGTAAGCGACTCTTTTTTCCCTTTCTAATCTCTTTCCTGATCCAGATGGTAATTGGCTTATACCCTGGAGCACAATGATTTAACCAAAATTATTAATTTAACTGTATAGTAACAACAGAACACACTAATCCATTGGTTGCTCATGTGTCTATCTGAATACTAGTTTCATAAAGCAACGTCCAGTTTGAGTTTTTGTATTTCCATTACATTTGCATGTCCTGCTATGAACCTATATTCCATTTCCCTTACAGGTTTGGCTAATTTTTTTTTTTACACTCAAAGAATTGTAAAGACTTCTAAATTCTCTAAAGTAGTTTTGAATATTTAAAATTGTTAATAAAAACGATGTTGTTTTGCAGCATTTGTACAGTCAAAAATATTACCATATGTTAGTGACATGCATTAAATGTACTAATTGTTCTGTATTTAAATAGGTGAATATGATAAAAGATGATGGAACAGTTATTCATTTCAACAACCCCAAGGTCCAAGCTTCCCTTTCCGCTAACACTTTTGCAATTACTGGTCATGCAGAGGCTAAACCAATCACAGAAATGCTCCCGGGAATCTTAAGCCAGCTTGGTGCTGACAGTTTAACAAGTCTCAGGAAGTTAGCTGAACAGTTCCCAAGACAAGGTGGGTGTCCCTACTTGGAACGTCTTATTGAAGATTTTAAAAATATGTTTCTCCTTTTGGAAAAGGTTTGTGGAAGAATTTTCCAAAGTGCCTGTGTGACTTGGGTCCTCTAGAAATCTTTATACTTGGCCTAATACTTTAGATGATTTATTTGGATTAGTGAAACACAAACTATTTTCACGGTAAACTTTCCTTGTTCTTATGAGATACGACTTTCTCATGCAAGCTAGTTTTCTTCTATATTAATTATGCTACTTTTCCTAACATCTTGACTATCACAGTGTGTCTGAAACTGCCTTAGACTTAATGTTTTACAACTTTATGATGTGAGTAGGCACTTAAATCCCCCTGAATTATAACATTGTGATCATTAACTTTAAATTTATTTTGTTTGGCTTGCCAGTAGACATTAGATTTTTATAAGTTCTAAAACTACTTTCTATTCCCATGAATATCACCATGATATAAACTGTTCTGCTCTTCACTTAATATTGCTACCCACTTAACAGTGTTGTAGTAATGTCACAAAAGGCATATTTTCAGTCTGTTTCAAGACTCTTTTACGTAGGCCCACTTAGGTGGAAAAAGGCAAATCTCCTCAGTGACAAGGTTTGTCAGTTGTACTGTGTTTTTTAAATATTTTCCAATTTGAAGTGTACGGTTTTGTAACTCAATGAAGTATATCTTCCAGTTTCAGGAATATCAAATGAAATGCAAAAAGGTATATTGATATAAATTATTTCTAAACTGAAACTTTTAACTTGATAGAAATTTGTGCAAGATTTGAAGTAACTTTTATAGGCGGAAATAAAAGATTAGTGGTAGCTATACAGATACAATTCTGGTGATAAAATTATTTCAGGAAAATGCATACTACTAAGTTGGAATAAATTAGTTAATTGACTCTTTTAAACATAATTTGCTTTGCTAAAGCGACACTTCAATATTGAATATTTATTGTAGTGAGATTTTCCTAAAATGCTGCTTTAAATACATAAAACTAACTAATTCAAGGTTCACCTAGATATAGAAATCAGTTTCTTTTGTTAAGGAATTCATTTTGAAGTAATCACAGGCCTATCAAACAAAATGTTTTCCTCCTATAAATCCAGGATGAGTGCAATCCTCACCACCTCTCCTCCCATTTTCAACTTTTTCTCAGATCATTAAAAATGAAACTAAATTACACTTTCCTTTTTTCATTGCACCTAGTTAATATCCCAGTGTCTGATCACTTCGTAAAGCCTTTGAAGCTAGATACATTGCTAATACAGGGGGTCCCTGCTATAAGTCGCCCCAGTATACATCCGTTCCACACTAAAGTTGTTGACATTTGTATGTACTGATGCGTTATAAGTCCTCCCATTCCCTGCTATAAGTTGTGCAAAACGCTACCCCCAATTTGCTTAATTGGAAGTCAGCCACAGGAAAAAAAATTCCCCGCTTTTAGTTGTTTTGCTGTAAGTCCAAGTTTTTTGGAACATATCTTGGACTTATAGCGTGGATCCCCTGTAGTTTAAAGGCATTGTCTTACCGAAAGATGTACAGTCCTTGATGCAATTTGTATTGTGCCATCACAACAGAATACTAAAAGAGGGGCATGTGGTGGGGAGCAGGAACTGGCGTTTTGAATGTAACATTCAATTTGGGGAATGCATCTTTGTTCTCTGAATCCTGTTCATTTTGAACTTGCTTAACAATTGCTAGGCTATCTATAAATTTTCTTAGGAAAGAGAGATGGCAATCCTCATTCTGGGATGTATTTTGTAAGTAAGACATGAGAAGTAATTCTTCCCCGCTCTACTAAGTATTGATTAAGCTTCAGCTGCTGTATTGTATTCCTTTCTGGGCACCACATTTCAGGGAAGATGTGGGCAAATGGGGAAAATCAAGAGAAGAGCAACAAAAATTATTAAAAGGTCTAGAAAACATGATCTACGAGAGAATTGGGTTTGTTTGGTTTGGGGAAGAGAAGACTGAAAGTGGTTATAGCATTTTTCAAGTACATAAAAGGTTATTATAAGAAGGAAAAATTGTTACCACCTCTCAGGATAGGATAAGAAATAATGGGTTTAAATTGCAGCAAGGGCAGTTTTGGTTGGATATTAGGGAAAACTTCCTAACTGTCAGGGTGATTAAACCCTGGAACAAATTGCCTAAGGAGGTCGTGGAATCTCTAACATTGGAGATTTTTACGGGCACATTAGACCAATGCCGAGAACTCTGCCAGCGATTTAAAGGGCCTGGTGCTCCAGCTGCCACCATTGCAACAGAGATTGGGATCACTGGGCCCTGATACAGTTGCCCCTCCCCCCATTGCAGGCCTCTTAATCAGTTAACTTCGTACACAGTGCTATTAGTATTGTTAACTGCTGTATTGAAGTTTAGTTTTTAATTTCTTCTTGCATATCGATGAAACTAGGAGTCCTTACTGCCACATTCATGCAAACAGAGGAATGAGATTCCTAATTTCAGACTTTCTAGAAAGTATAAATAAAATATTTTTGCACAAGCTCTCAAGGAAGCATAAAATATGTAGATGTAAAATGGAACTAGATAATACCTTATTATTCTAATGTCCAACAAAGTTAGCCATCCCCGAAAGAACCAAGACTATTTAGATATATATATTAATTCTTCTGTTTTCCCTATGTTTTAGAAAAGCACAGAGTTCAATTTAAGACAGAAACACCAAATAATTTTCTGTAACTAGTAGCCATAAGGGAGAAAAACCCAGTTTGTCTAAATTTCAAATCAAGAAGTCAGCCCATTCTGATGCATAAAAATCCTTGCAACCAGTCCACATTTAGTATGCTTCCTAAGATGTTAGAGAATTCTTGTGAGTAACAGATAGGAAAACTGGTAAGAAAGAATTGTTCTGTTCTGTAGATTTCTGCACTTTTGAGTAGATTTGTCAGGTATGCTGTATGTAGAAGGTACCAGTAGTTTTAAAGTTGTAGTTTTATTTAAATATAACTTACGATGGAGTGATAGATGTGTTATGGACTCCTGAAGGGAAATGCTGTACTTTTCAGAATGTTCTCTCCCTGTAGTAGTGACCTCCAACAGAAATCAGAAGTTAGTTGCCTGCTTCCTGATTTAACTGATATATTATGTTTTTTCTTTTGAGAGAGACAAGTATTGTGTAAATGAGACTATTGTCTTAAAACATATACTTAGTACAAAACTTTTTTATAGTGTTGGATAGCAAAGCAACAAAATCCGAAGACATTGATGAAGAAGATGATGATGTCCCGGGTAGGTTTACTAGCGCATTCTATTTCTTCAGTTTTTAGATTATTGGTTATTGTTTGGATATATATTTCGATTTGTACAGCTATAATTCTCTTGCATTTAGAGAGGCAATTTGTTATAATGGACTGATCATGGAATTGAGAGAAGGCACACTTGAATTTCAGCTTTAACACTAACTTACTGCGTGGCCTTGGGCAGGCCACTTTATCTGTGTCTTACCATCTGTGAAAAAGGGATAAATACTCCAGGCAGGCTGGGAGGGTTAACTATTTAGTATTTGTACAGTGGTTTCAGGATATAAATTTCCAAATGAATTTGAAGTATTAGTAATTGGATGACGGATGTAAAGGAGTATTTACCTACTCGCATTCCTCCCTCCCGTTGCTGCCTTTGTGTCAGAGGCAACAAGGGGGGGGAGCTGGCTTAAAAGCCAGTCTTACCTCTTCCCCTCCCCCCGGCACCATCTCTGTGGTGCTTCCTTTCTCCCTCCCTGTTCCCCCTGCCGGGGGGTGGGGGGAGGAGAAGAGGCTGCTGCAGTGAAGCAGCCCTTGTCCCCAGACACCTGGCAACAGGCAGGGGCTGCCTCGTGGCAGCAATCCCTGTGTGTGGGGGGGTCTCAGTGGGAAGTTGAGGACCCCTCCTCTCCCCCTGCACATGGACTGCTGTACCAAAGCAGCCCCTGTCTGCAGTGACCCGGCCACTGGCAGGGACTGCTTTGCAGCAGCAGTCCCTGTGCACGGGAGG